AACATATGCTTGCTAGCTACTATGTTAAACTCCAAATAATGCCTCTGTGTAATCCTTTCACTAAAAGCAAATTAAGAAGTACAGTAAGCATTTGCTTACTTAAGAAGGACAATTCTGATGCCATTAACTGTTGAATAAGGGCTTAGTTCTTCCCATTCAAAGAAAAGTCCAATGAAAAAGAAATACTGAAGACTTAATGAGGACATACATTATTGTTCATCTCCCATTCTGCTGCCATACAAATCCTCCACAGAATCTCAAATCATTAACAAATAGAAAAAGCAAATTACAAGAAGTTCACCCAAAGGTCAGCTGTCTGCACCCAGCCAAAGATGCAGACCCAGAGAGAAGGTCTTCAATGCAACCATGCTCTGTGAAAGGATGTTGGCTTGCTTTGCATAGCCAGAGTGCTTTGGGAAAAATGCACCAGGTACAAAATCCAAACTTCTAAGACCATCAAAATATTTCAGCATTCCATGAAGAAAATGTAGCAATGTTTCATTTTATATGATGCAGTATTAATTATGACAGTATAGTTAACAAAAGGAAAACATTTTGACAGAGGACATTTTTGTCTCTTCGTTTATGGAGAATTTAAAAATGAATCAACAGGGAACTTAACCAAAAGGCAGAGAAATATTGAGGGCTTAAACCTTCACAAAATACATCAGAACATGTGGGGCACTGCAAATAATATGGCTGATCTTCCCATAGAATTAAAACTGCTCTAGAAACAATGTACTGCTACTCTTACTGCTTCTTTGTAGATTTTTTTTAAGGGGAGGAGAATTTCACAAATATTCTAAGTCAGCAGTACCTTTCCAACTATTTAGGATAAAGCCGACCCACTAACCCATGTTACTCCTCCTGTTCCATGAAGACATGATATGGAATAGCTGTTGGAAGTTGGTTGCAATGAAAAGGTGAACACACCTTGGCTGGTTTTTAGGTTCTGACAGGTGGCAATCTAACCCTGACAGGATAGACTGGCATAGATTTACCTTGTCAGGCCTACAAGGACTCACATGCCCTGTGGATGACCACATTTTGGAAGAGGAATGTGCTTTATTATGGAATCACTTTTTGACAAAATCTCACTACTCCCCACCAAGCCACTCCAACCTGTGTGCTTTTGACTTCACCCATGCCTCCCCACAACTGCTTTTCTATTCAATTTACTTGTCCCAGCAGCCTTTTCCAACCCTTACTCATCTCCCCCTTTCTCATGCTGTTTTAAATACTGGACTTGTTTCTCACAGTCACACAGAGGAAAATATTTTGTACAAAGCAAGAAAAGACTTGCAAACACCTGATGGAGAAAGCCAGTGGGAAGAGAACTGTGTGAATATAATTACCAGTGATCCTCAAGAGGAGCAGCATTTCTAGGAAGAGCAGTGAATCCATGTTGGCTGAGTAACTTCCCAACACACCAAAATCCCCTGTCCTAGAAGGAGGATGATCTCATCTGTGTTTGACATAGTTTCCCATAACAGAACAACCAAGCTACTCTCTTGATTAGCAAATGCCACACAGTGCTTTGCAACCATGTACATCAGCCCTTCCTGCGCATCAGAGACTTTCCACTGAAAAAGTAAAGCAGAAACCCCACACAGGGACTTAGGCAGGGTAACAGTGGTGTCAACATGAATGGAAAGAAGTTTTGAAGTTATCTTTTCTTTGGCTGCAGCCTCTTATTGTATCTCTGCTCAGCTGCTAAACAAAAATCATATTTACACAGCAGTGATATAATCAGGCGTTTATATCACAGCATGTAAACAGGAAGAAATCTAGACTGATATATTTTGTAATATCTATGGAATGAGGTTTTTCTTTACTTATTTATTTTTAAGACTACATTCTATTGACTGAGCCATATCCTGAATTCTAACTCCCAGAGTGTGGAACTTCACCATGAGTTATAATGAATTCACAGTAAAGCTTACTAAGAGGGGAGATCCCTAACAGATACTATGCTGGCTCTTGCAGCCATCACTTGAATTCATAATTTTGTTACTTAGCACAACACACTTGATGTGTGGATAAGAGCAATGTATTTTGCAACTGCAAATATTTCTATATCAGCCTCATCTAGTGACAGAACACTGTGGCTTTTTATACAGTTTGCAAGTGCAAAGAACATTCGTGTTCCCTGGGATTTTCTGATTTGAAAGTACGAAGTATAAGGCTTAAAACTATAAAGGTTGATCTGCAAGGAAAATAAGACAAAGTAAACTGTAAATGATGCATCAAATTCTTAAACACAAGTTCTGCCACTGATGACCAGCAGCTGGAATCAAAAAAACTGATTCCACGCAGCAATGGAGCACCTTACATCAAGAAAGACAACATGAAACTCAGGAAGTTACAGAAACTCCATCATCTGGGACGTGGCTTTTTTTGTTTCATATGAAATCCAGAAGGATGATAAGCCATTTCAATCAGTCTCTAAGTCATGTTTTTTAGGTGTGAAGACCAGAACCGAAAGTTATTTTCACTTAATTTTGTACAGCTGTTTGCAGACAAGTGCAGGAATTCTGGAACTGCTGGGAAAAAAATCTGACTGGCTGCTTAGTGCCTCTGGTGTGAGAGCTACAACGTGACTCAAGACTGAAAACAGAAGGAAACGGTGTTTTGTTTCTATAGAATCAATCACTATGGATTGCCTGACAAAATTTTCTGGCACTGGAACAGAACACAATAAACCAGATCTATTAACAAGCCTGGGAAGCACAGCTGGGGTATGCCATTTGCCTCATGGAGGGAGATGTTCTCCAAATCCTTTTCCTATAAGGTGTGAGAGGTTCACAACATCATAGAGATTAAAAGAAAAAAAAAAAAAAAAAGAGAGAAAGTAAGAAAGAAAATAAAGATGGTTAACAGAATACAAAGAGAAGGCCTTACATTAATTTTTGTAAAACTGAATGGAAAGATGCACCTGGACCTGCCAGAAGCACCTCCAATTCTGCTGGTGTGTTAATGGAGCTTTCCCACGCTTCTCCATAATCAGCAGCATTAGGGCACAGTAGGCATTCCTCATGTTGTTCTCCCCTTCCCTGTGTTGCAGGCCGTGCACCCTGAGCTGCAGCAATGTTGGTGCCTGGCTGCTGCTCCCCATGTTGGGGATGAGCACACTCTGCAAGGTCGGCTAGCTGAGACAGCAAGAGCTGCAAGTGAAAGCCACCTTTCCCAGAGAAAACTTAAGTGGAAATCAAAGTCAAGTGGCAATTTGCAAGCTGATTAGACTAGTAACAAAGTTCAGCTACATAAAGTCCCACTGAAACAGCTGCCTCGTGGTTATTTGACTGCACGCCAGTCTGGTGCTGAAGAGAGAAAAAAGGGTGAAGTCTATTCTGCATAATGAAGTCCATCTTCTGAAAAGAAGATGGGAGACTGAAACACCTTCAAGAAGCTGCATCAAAAACATGTGCTGTTACTTCCATGCCAAGAGTACTGGAAAAGTTTCAAGAAGGGATTTGCTAGATCCACAGTAGAGATGGATACACGAAAACATGTTACAAACCAGGTGAAATGGTAAGCAGGTGACCCATTTACTACTCCTTAACAACTTCCTAAACACGATCCCACCTGAGGAACTGACTGCACAAATATTCTTAGATGGGGGGAAACATAAATGCTGGCTTCAATATAACAAGAAAAGTGTTGCTGTGTGTTTTCCTCTGTCAGCTCTGGGTCTTCCCAAATGATGATTTCCTCTCATCAAACTCCACATCAAAAGGCCCAATGGACTATTTATCCTTGCAGACCATTTACCACAGCCTGGCAGGTACCAGCAGTCTGCAGACCAGAGTTTCATAACTCTAGGTCTAGAAGCATCACGGAGTTGCTAATGAAATTAGTTACAGTAATTTCAAAAAGCCACAAGGTAAAAAAAAAAAACAAAACAAAAAACCAAAAACCCACAACCAAAACACATTAAATCCTTGCTAGCTAAATCCCAAGAACAATATCTTAAAAAAGTGAAAAATAGAAACACAGCATCATCTAGTAACAGTTAATATCTCTTAGGATCTCCTGCTTTGGAAGACTTCATGGAAAACCCACAAAGCTACACCAAGGTGAAATACATAATGAAGACAAAAGAGTTACTGATCAAAGAATCCTTACTAACACAATAGGCAACATCCAAAGATAGTGGCAGACTGGGATGTTAAGCCAGTTTCTTCTCCTAGGGTATTTTAAAGGCTTATAAATTAAAGGCATGTACAATGGTATAGACATGTAAAGTATTACATGAAGGTATAACATTATTATTAACCAGCCAAGAATGTGTGCATTGCATTAAACTTCCATCACCCTGTAAGCATCCACTCTGTTCCCATTATCCTGTATGCTTTGAAATGTGCAATTACATTAATCTTTGCTGCTGTAATTATTCCTGGTTGTAATTAGTAACAGCTGTGACATTCAGACTGGAGTTCCATAAGCAATAAAATTCTCCCAGAGTTTAATAAGCAGAGGTTTTGTAATTTTATGTTGTGCTTGTGAAACTCCTAAGGAAACTTCACCTGTTGGAATACAATCTCTTCTCCATCTTCTTCTACAACATTATGCTCCAGTACCTCTGTTTACAGAATGTTTTACAATTGCTGTTTTCTGTGCAGTCCCAGCTTTCTCCCACTGATTTTCCCAAGTCTCCCTGCAGGTGCAGGGAGCAGCCTCCACGTTGTACATCACAGAATGCAAACCCTTTGGACCATGAGGAATAGCTAAAAATGGAAGCTTTCCACTGAATGTGCAGATAACCTTAAAGTCTATAAATAGTTATCGAAAGTATGACTAAAAATATTCATCAAAAAAATCATTTCTTTAAATTCAAGTGTTGACTTTGAAGCTCAGATGACAACAGCTTGAATGCAACATGGGTAATTTCATAATTACATAGTATAAGCAAAACCATTCAGTCAACTAGACTATCCCAGAGTTCCAGCTATTTTTCATGTGACAACAGATCTACTGAACTCTATTCTGCTCCAAAATACCTTTGCTTTCCTCTTGCAGTTTCTGCAGGAAGCCTGTATACTCTCAGTACTAAAAAAAAAAAAAAAAAATTAAAAAATTAATACAGCACACACTTGTTTACTTTCCAATTCAAAATAAAAATTCCTTTCATTACATTTATTTCCTTTCCACTTGGCAGAGAAAATAAATAGATTGGGGTTTTTAATTAATTACCTGAAGCTGCTGAGAAAAACTATAATAAACTAGAAAACCCATCAAAACCCCATCATTTGATTGTCAGAACCTATGTTTACAATTACAGAGTATAGTTGTAATTTATGGAGGAATATACAAGGCAATATAAATATTACATTTATATTTAAAAAATAGGTCAAAAAACGTTTGTGAAATATAGCCTAACAAAGGAATAACATAAATTTGTGTCAGCATTAATAACTGCCCAACAATACACTAAATACTGCTTGAGACTCTAAAATGCACAACAATAATTCTGTATCTTTCTTATTAGTTAACTAACTTGAATTGAAATATAATTCATATTTTAATGTGGAGTGGGAGGTAGGGGGAGGGAGAAGGCAGTGAACTTCTGACATATCCATGTCTTACTGATTTTTTGTTTTAACTAGAAAGTCATGAGATTAAAAAAAAAAAATCAGAAATGTTAAGTTTCCTTTATTTAGAAAGCAGGAAGGCTTAATTCACTAACCCCTAATCTGGAAAAAACAAAATACTAAGATGTGTGCTGGTACAGTCAGAGATCTTAAAGAATTCTTTTTAAAAGAAGACAGAATAGAAAACAATTAAAAACTTCAGAAATAAGTTATCAAACATCCTTCATGCAGAAGATCAGCCCTCTGGAGCTCACTCATTTCATCTCCCCAGGATCTACCCGCTCACAAAGGCCAGCAGCACTGCATACATATTCATAGCAGTCCTCTTGCTCTGCATTAGGCAACTTCATTCAAATTCATTACACTGAAATCAAAGCCAAATTCCCAGATTTTATGCTCATTTAGAGAATGAAAAAAGTCTTTAGGAGGTATTCTAAGCAGTTCATAGTTACCGTGCTGTGGGGATTATGAAATAATTCAGATTTGTCATTGTAGATTATATCACATGCAAATATGGATGAAGATGTAAAAGGCCTAAACCTCTCCACTGATCTTGCCAGGATTTTCTTAGATCACCCTGCCTTCCCCTCACAACCCATCATATCCTGGGATTGTGCCTAAACCCAGACGCAGAAACCGAGGACATCACTACCCAGCTATCATCTTGGAAAAACTATTAATAAATTCAGTCAAGTGTCTGGTTAGTTTACTTCCATACCTGATATCCTACATAACCTTTGTAAACATTGTGACTCCAGCACCAGTTTCCACAGTCTCACAGGAGCTGTGGTTGAAGAATTTCTGAGCAATGTGTTGCTCACAGCTAAAAGAGGCAAAGCTGATGCTGCAATGCTGGGTCTCATCAGCTACTTCTTATTGTCAAACTCCCCTTCAAAGTGGAAGGGAAGGCAGTGAAAAGCCAACTCATTATTTAAGATCTTCCAGTGATTTTCTAGCTAACGCTGCAGTGATTAAAACACTTGGTTTTGAAGATACTGATGCTGAAAAATTACTGACTTTGCATGCAATAAGTGGCAAAACCGAAATTATACAATGTATTAGCGATGACATAGCCTAACATCACATATCAGAACATTAGGTGTCCTGGGTTCAGAATTTTCTTTTAATTTAATATTCTTTCCATGCTTGTACAGCCAAAGAGCTTGTTGAAAACTGCTTTAATAAAATTACCCAGACACAGACTCAGCCTGTAGTACAATTCCATGAAAACAGAAGTTAATAAAGGAAACACTGAACTACCATAAAGAGTATGTAATTAATTTGTGTAGGTAGCAGAAATACACTTACTGGCTTACATGCTGCAGATCCACATAATAGCTATTAACACCTTAGGATACACACTTCACATCCCAGTACTACTTTTTTAACTGTTTGCCCTTCACTGCTTTCCCCAGGTTTCCTCCTTACCCCTATAAAAGACAAAACCCACAACAAAACTAATCAACATCAAGACATGGATCTGTAGCCCATTTGCAAGGATGTGTTTACCCATCAAAAAGCAGATCCAAACCAGAGACACTCAATTTACATGACCAACTCAGAGCTCAGATAAACTAAATATCCAGATGTCAGACTGAGGAGCCATGTTCTTTGAGAAACGGCCCAAATTGGATTTAAAAGACTAAACAGTGATTTAATTATTGAAACGTGGACATGGATCTGACTGGCTGCAGATAAAGAGGCCAATGCTATAAAAAGTTGTTCACAAAAATTAAGCCTTCTGCACAAAGTCTTATTTCTCCAGCGCCGACTACTGCAGTTGTGAGACATCAGTTTTACTCACCACACACTAATTGCTTCTCTCAGAGCAAACATTAACTTCTCAGAGAAACAAACCATTAGAACCATATATCTTGGGCCTGAAGTATAACCTGAACACTGTTTCAGTTTGGCCACAGGCTGATTCTCAGCAAGAAAGAGGTTGGAGGCCAGATCTTATTCTAACCAAGTAATCTAAGCCCCCATGCTGAGCATCTCTTTTGAGACTCCATGGAAATTTTTTTCACTTTTCAGTTTACAAACATTTCAGAGATGAAACTGAGAACTACCTTTATATCACATCTTACCAAGATAAACCAATTATCAAGAATGCATCAAATTTTTAAATTTTAAAATTAAAATTTTAAAGTAAAAAACCCAAACAAAATACTTTTAAGTTGAGTTTCTCCTCCATGTTAATTTTTCTCCTCTTCTGTAAAGATGGCTGGTAAATAATTATCCTCAAGGCCCAAATTCCATATAATATACAAAAAAATTTCTGGAATTAACACATCAGCTACTTGACATTCATTTCAAACTTTGTTTTTATAAATTGCATCTTCCAGATTTACAGAAACAGAACAGAGAAAACCAAATCATACATGCTGTAAACAAGAAATAAGAAAGCAAGATTTTAATTTTATCCTGCATGACAACATGCAACCACAGGTTTGTAATTGTGGAAACTGGCAAATAGACCCACCAGTGCAATCCTAAGGTTTGTAATGACATTCTCTCTTTCCACTGCCCATACAGAGCTGTACTGTATAATGTACATTTGTGGCTTGATCTTGACTGAAAACAGAGAGATACAGAGGCAAAAGAACCTACTGAACTGCCAGCTGGCAGTATAGCACTGGGCTTTCTTCTGGTAATAGGCTAAATGAAGAAGATTTGCAAACATCCTCACAGTTGAATCCATCCCACAGTGATCATGATGTCTCATCTTCCACCGGTTTTGTGAAGGAAACATGTTCATTCACCTGGGAGGCTTTGAATTCTAATCCTCCTGAAGTCACAGGATGTACACCAACTCTAAGAGGGCAAGGATTTTACCACTGGTCCTCTGGAATACAGTGTTTGATAGTATTTACTGCATAAAACCTCCAAACTGGAGTATTATTATTAGATAGACAAAATGCAGTAGCAGACATTTGTTTTCAGAAAAACTATAACCAATACAAGCTACTCTGGCTGCAAATATTATTTTAATACTACTCAGCTGTGTTAAAAGAGCCCCCCAATGCTCTGCTTATCCTTGGGTTTTCCAAGCCAGTTGGTGCAGGCAATGTACCTGGAGGGCATGGGGAATTAAAACATTATGGAGAAGTCAAAATCAGCTGAAATTTCCTAGAGTCAGTGGTAAAGAAAAGGGAAAGATGCTCCCCAAGAATTCACCTTTCTTTGATTTAAATCTCCTCATCATTCCATGAATGATCAATCTTAGAATCTTGTTTGTTCACTTTTAAACTGATATTTTGGCTAGAAAAATGCTAGAGAATTTGACAAAACACCTTTAATATAATTTTTTTCCTAAGACTAATACTAAAATTAGTACTAATTGGTTTTGGCTAACTTCGTGGTATTCCCAACGTGTGAAACATGCGGAAAACAAAGCTTGATTTCAAACAGGTTTTTAAGAATTCATCAAAATCCCTACAAATCAAAAAATCAAATAACAAGCCATTGGTTATAGTAAAGATTAAGATTTTTATGACAGATTATGACAGGAAAAAAACCCATCACCCTAGTAGATCAGCTTTCAAAACAATTATTTTCATCCTAAACCTAACCTTCAATGTAATTTCTTTCTATTTTGCATTTTTTCCTGTTTTCTCCAAAACTAGGTTATATTGCCAATTGGCCAACAGCTCATTCACAGACACTGCTATGACTTCTATTTAAGCAGCTAGCTTCTAAGAAGGAAAATAATTGACATTTTTTCCCTTATCTCTGACCTGGTAAAAAAAAAAAATCCCTTGGAATAACTAAATAAAACTTTCAGTCAAGATAAAATATACTTAATAATGTGACTGTGAAGGGTGAAGAGAATGAAGAAAAGGTTCAGCAACCAGAACCTTCTCTCCATCAAAGAACTGTATTAACTGCTCTGAGTCAAGCACTTGGGTTTTTTTGGGAGCGGGGGATTTTGGAGGTGGGAAGGGGTGGAGTGGGGAGGGAAAATTATGTTAAAACCCCAACCAAAACAAAATACAACCCAAGAGTTATTCATTACCTTGGCTTTAATTTGCTCTCCCATTAGTGGGTGGCAATTAGCTCTCCATCACAAAAGGAAGTGAATTTGTTCCCATCCTCAGGAGAATGCAAATTTCTTCCTCCCGGCAAAGGCCTGCCACGTTCTATAGCAACGTGCTGCCATACAAATGAGGCACATCGATTACCCTTTGTAAACAGCACTTGCTAAATCTTACAGTGTTTCTTCTACAAAAAAAAAAAATAAGCTTTGATACCTCTTTGGCTTTATACAACATCACTGAACTGCCTCACCTAAAGCAAAGGCTTCACCCAATGCCGTTTAGCACACCCAAGGATGCCTGGGAAGAAATATCTGGAAACTGAACAATCAGAGGTAATTTAATATAGGGTTTCTAAGCCTGAGGGCTAGAGATCACCCCAGTATTAGCACCTGACAGGTCAGCTGTCAGTCATGCTGTGGCT